GCAGGGCGGCTAGGATCTGGAACCAACTTCCAAGAGAAGTTGTGCTGGCTCCTACCCTGCGGGTCTTTAAGGGGAGGATAGATGAACACCTTGCTGGGGTCGTTTGACCCCAGTACTCTTTCCTGCCATGGCAGGGGGTCAGACTTGATGATCTGCTCAGGTCCCTTCTGACCCTACCTACTGTGAAACTATGAATGTTGGACCCTTGCTGAACCAAATGGGGCAGCCTATAACTGACTCCCAGGAGAAAGCTAATCTCCTCAACGATTACTTTGCATTGGTTTTCCACCAGTCCAAGGGGATCACCCTGCCTGATAGGATGCAGGACTACCAGGGTAAGAGCAATCATATGCCTATAATTGGCAAAGATCTTATGAGGGAACAGCTTGATAGGCTGGACATTCACAAGTCAGCTGGCCCAGACAGAATGCACCCAAGAGTGCTAAAAGAGTTGGCTGATATCAGCATGACCACAGGCGAGGCTGTTTGAGAACTTGTAGCACTCAGGAGAGGTTTATGAAAAGGCTCAACGTGGTGCCTATCTTTAAGAAAGGAAGGAAGGAAGATCCAGGGAACTACAGGCCAATCAGTTTGACCTCAATCCCTGGAAAGATCTTGGAAAAAATCACCAAAGAAACCAACAACAATAGGTTAGTGGAAGGCAGCATTCTGAGAGACAGCCAACATGGCTTCGTTGCAGGTAGATCTTGCCTGGCCAACCTCATTTCCTCCTATGACCAGGCGATGCATCACCTGGACAAAGGAGAAGAAGTTGATGTCATATATTTAGATTTCACAAAAGCCTTTGACTTGATCTCCCATGATGTCCTTATGGTTAAACTGGGAAACTGCAGCCTCAACAAACTTAGGGTCCGGACCGATGGCTGGGGGACTGGCTTCGTGATCAAAGCCAGAAAGTGATAGTCAATGGAAATGAGTCAACATGGTGCATGGTGACCAGTGGCATTCTCCAGGGCTCAGTACTCAGACCAGTACTCTTTAATATATTCATTCATACATGATCTGGATTTGGGTGTCAGAAGTGGATTGGCTAAGTTCACAGACAACACCAAATTATGAGGAAGTGCAGTCATGCTAGAGGATAGACTGGTAATTCAGGTCGACCTGGACAGGTTTGAAATGTGGGCAGATCAAAAGCTGATGACATTCAACACAGAGAAATGGAAGTTGCTCCACCTTGGGAGAAAAAAACATAGGTGGTGGAAGTGGGGGCTAATGGGGCTTAGCCCCCCCAGATGCGGGGCAGCAGTAGGGCTGCAAGGCAGCCCAGCTGTGGGCTTCTGATGGCTACAGCAGGGATGGGATGGGGTGGGGTGGGGTGGGGTGGGGAGGGGCATGCACACAGTGGTGAAGGAAGGAGTGGGGCTGGGGTTGGGGGAGGAGAAGAGCCCAATGCAGCACCGGCCCTGGCCCGCAGCAGCAGCCTGCCTTGCCTCACACAGGTCCAAGAGCACTTGCCTGCATGCACTCCCAGGGCACATGCAGCAGTGGGAGCTGCCACCTCCTGCCCAGATGAGCTGCGGCTCTGTCCTGCACACTGCCCCCCTCCCCAGCTGTGCAGGGCCGGTCCCAACCCAGGCCCCACTCCCTCCCTGCCACAGCCCTTTCCCCTCCTCCCACCTCTTCCCCTGCAGACTTTATTGCTGGGGAAGTGCATGCACCTGCGTGCGCTCAACCCCCAACTCCCCAACAATTTTTTTCTCCCTCCACCTATGGAAAAAACCGACATCATACTTACAAGCTCAGCAGTGCTACACACTCAATGAACCACAAGCGAAAGAAACTTGGGGGTCTTGATTGACCACAATATGAACGTGAACCAACCAATGCATCCAGCAAAGCAAATTAAATTCCGGCTTGCATCTACTGATGCATCTCAAGCAAGACCCAAGAAGTCATCCTCCCGCTTTACTCGGCCTTGGTAAGGCCACAGCTGGAGTACTGCATCCAGTTCTGGGCTCCACACTTTAGAAAGGATGTGGAGAATCTTGAGAAGAGTCCAGAGGAGAGCCACACAC